CTGTATTTTTTAAATGACTGCTGCATATAAGTAATCACACATATACTTTGTCAGTTTTTTCACCAGCAGGTGCTAGCCCATAGGTTTTAGAAGGTACAGGAGTGCAGAAAGGGGTGGGAGAATGCCAAAGACACTTGCAATTTTTGCTCAGAGCCTTCCAAAACAATACCTGTTAGTATCCCAAAATGCCTGAGTTCTGGTTTACTGTTTTACCTGGGGTAAGTCACTGTACCTCTCTGAGCCTCTGTTTCTTAATGTAGTAAGTGGAAGGAAATGTATTAGATCAAGTAAAATCAATTTATTGGTTTATGAGCAGTATGTGTGTATGTGTGTGTGTGTGTATACACACACACACACACACACACTTTAATGAAATAGAATATGTCTGGAGAAAACACTCCATGTTTCTCCTTTGCTCTCACAATACCCCCACACTCACAACACTTCTGACGCCAGATGTGTGGGTTTTCCACACATCAAACAATTCTGCAACACCAGCTGGGTGTCCTATTGGGTCTGCGGAAAAGTCATGACTCATGTTTGTGACAGATGGCACTAGTTCATTTTGGGAAGTACTGGAGTCATTTGCATCTGTGTTATTATTATGTCATTTGACAGCTGACAGTTCTAGCTTCATTCTAAAAAATATATTGAGCGATTTGGTTGAAATTTTACAACAAGTTGAAGATGGAAGACCAAACTGCATTTTTGCCATATTTTACTGTTTTTACTTCCATAAAGGGAAGAACACGCGTCAAGCTTATGAAAAGTTGCATAAAGTTTACCATGACAATGCTCTATACTGGCAGCGGTTCTCAATCTGTGGGTCACGACCCCTTTGAGGGTCGAACAACCCTTTCACAGGGGTCACCTAAGACCATCGGAAAACAAAAGATATTTTACATTACGATTCATAACAGTAGCAAATTACAGTTATAGAGTAGCAACGAAAATAATTTTATGGTTGGGGGGTCACCACAACATGAGGAGCTGTATTAAGGCGTCGCGGCATTAGGAAGGTT